TTTGCCAGTAACCTTTTTATCGACATACTGAACATGACATTATATTATTAAGGATTTTTTAAATTATCATTGAAAAGGTATAAATGCCTCAAATATATCTTGATTTGTCAAAAATCTTGATATTAGATATTTGAATTAGGCCTCTATCTCTTTGCATTATGACATTACAATCACAGTGATATTGTTTGTTCGATATACTAATACTATGTGTTGTGTTAAGTCACTTAAAGACAAAAAATATTTTACTTTAAGTATTGTAGCTTACAGAAGCACATGATACATGTCAAAATTCTGTCAAAATCACCGAAAAATCAGCCGTTTCTAGTTCTATGACATCACAATGAGCCCAATAATCCAAAAAATACATTTTTTCAAAAACTGTGTCAAATTATCTTTACAGTGATACTTTTATCAAGACATATGGTCAAACTGTTCTCTAGATATGTTCAAAAGTATATTCATGGGCCTTAATAGTGACAACATTGCAGTTACCATGGAAACCAGCATTTTAAGGAACTTTTCCACCTGTTCTGAATGTTTTTAGTCATCAAGCATGTTAGTGCAGAAGTTAAGCTTTCCAACGGTACCAAGATTAGCCAGTAAGCTTTTGGAGGTTTAATCTCTTCAAATATTGCCGGCTGCTACTCGTCTATTGGTCAAGTAGTCGGGCCCCCGGCTCAGATTTCGAAACGGGATTTTTCTCGCCGATGGATGGACCCAAATAATGCAATGAAATAGGGAGCGTATTCGCATATCTGCGACCATTCATCTTGTAAGGTGCTACTTTCTATTTATCTTCCTTTTAAATCAGATAAAACACACTGACAATCGATTATCTTTGCACAGTTAACGATCAAACATTGGGCTTCTTCATACTTCTGCTTTCTGATGCGCCACCTAATCTCTTCACTCACTCGATTTTTATACATGTTCCTGGGCCTGTGGGAACGATCATTCTGAACAGTGCGTTAGTGCGCTAGCGCGTTAGCGCGTAGCGCGTGTTTTCATTATAACCTTTCAAAATTGGAGAATGTACACATTCCAAGAAAATCTTATTTTGTACTTTTTATTGATGATTAAAAGAAATAACTCAAAAATGAAAACATGATCTTCTACATACATCTTGATAATTTAATAAAAATTGGAATTCATCATAATTATGATAATACAGAAAGTGAACATTCTCCCACAAATTATGTTTTTATTGGAATGTGTTCTTGAATAATTACCCACAATGCAATACTCAAAGAGAACATCTTGATAACTCTTATTCTTATTGGTCTCTTTTGTTTACTTTTATATGATATTGAATATATTTTATGCTTAAATCATATCTAAAATTGATTTTTATTCAAAATAATACTAAAACATATACATTTATCTAATACTTTTTGAAATATTGCCATAAAAGGGAAGCATGTCCTTGCTCATTTTGAAGGTCTCATGTTATTACATAGAGTTGCATACCCTTCTAGTTGAAAGCCCATGGCGAGATCTAAAATTATCACTTTCGACTTTGAATATACTACTTTTTTCAAGGCCTGACTGCGTCGCTAACATGCTAAATATAAGAGTTAGCTGACGTTTGGGAGTCTGACTTACCTTCTAAAGGTTAGAACCCGAATCTTAATGAAACCATATCACCTTTGTTGCGTCGATGATGATGCATAAACATAGCATTTGATAGAAATTAGCGTAAATGCTTTTCCGACTTTTTCATTTTTCATCAATGTTGACTTCCGGGAAGGCGTTGTAGTTATCACGAAATAACGCATTGACCCTTGAACTTTACTTTGTTGACATGTCAACCAAGCATGTCTGGTGTGAAAATTAAAAGAATATTAAGCAATTTTCTACATCCGCCAAGCTAAGTGAAGTAGTCAATATTTAAAATTACCAATTTCAAGTGAAGTACGCAACGAACGAAACTGCGTGATCTACACTCCCACTATTGGTCTGAATGAAATGCTACGTAGAAATATGAGCCGTCTGCTGTATTAGTCGATTAATAGAGTAAGACCTGTTGGTGATGCTTTATAATTTAGACCAAAACATTGAAGAACAAACGAACCTGTAAATCGTGAAAACAACGAACAAATATTTGGTTTTCACATATGTTCGGTAATTTTTCGTATTGAAACTTCCGGAACTTACAAGGAAATCATTCATTTTCTCGATCCATGATTTACCTCTTGGATGTTGTGGCAAATGCTCCATGGTTGACACAACAAAGGTGATATGGTTTCATTAAGATTCGGGTTCTAACCTTTAGAAGGTAAGTCAGACTCCCAAACGTCAGCTAACTCTTATATTTAGCATGTTAGCGACGCAGTCAGGCCTTGAAAAAAGTAGTACGTGTGGGGTAATGTCGACATAAGAGATGGGTTAACTTCGAGACTAGACGATGAACACGGCCTCTAATGCGTTGGATTGTCTTACTCAGTTGTTTTTCGCCATGTTTGATTTCTGGAAAAATTTAAATCTAGCGAGATCTCGATCCATGCGAGAAAAAAAACATGGCTTCCCCCATCGGAAATTAGAGCAAATAAACAACAAGGTGTCGAAGTTACTCCAATTGTCTAATTAACCCCAAAATGGTGTCAACGTTACACCCCTTCACCCAAGTTTAACAAGTCTGTATGGCCTTCTTTATATATCTGATCTTTCTTAGATAGCCGTATTGAGTTCTGCTTCCAAGCTATGCGAATCACATTATTTCGATCGCTGGAAACAAATTTATTTTGATAATGTATGACAGATCCCGAGAACTACGTGTGGATACAATTTACACAGATTTCAGCAGAGCGTTCGACAGTGTCCCGCACAAACGTCTGCTCATCTTATGGAATATCGGGTTCTGTACTTGCCTGGATCAGATCTTTTCTAACTAATAGACTCCAGAGAGTATCAGCGAATGGAACGACATCTGAGTAGACCCCTGTTATCTCAGGTATGCCTCAAGGGACCTGCCTTGGACCATACCTATTTGCAATGTTTATTAATGACCTCCCAGACGCTACAAAGAACAAACTTCTTATGTACGCAGATGATGCCAAACTGTATGGTAGAGTTAAAGACCAAAAAGATAAGAAACAGTTACAAACAGATTTGGACAGTTTAACAAAATGGTCAAAAGAATGGCAACTCCCTTTCAATACAGACAAAAAAATGTAAGGTGATGCATTTAGGTACCAACAAGGAGAATGAAAACTACGCCATGAACAAAACTTTGGAGCAAACAACATTGGAAAAAGACATTGGAATCAATATAGACAATAAATTGAAGTTTCACTAACATGTTGACATACAAGTATCCAACGCCAATAGTATTCTTGGGACAATAAAGAGAACTGAACTCTCATCTTGATAGAAATACCTTACCACTCCTATATGAATTAAAGGTCTGGCCTCACCTTATGGAAACAGTGTTTGGAACCCCCACACCTATATGGATAGCGACAAAATCGAAAGAGTAAAAAGAAGAGCAACAAAACTAGTACCATCATTGAAAGGCACACTATACTTAATTTAGAAGAAAAAAGAAAAAAAACATTGAAACATGTTACTCACACGCTTGCTCAAATATGACACAAAGTTTGATTTGCTTTAATATTGAACCAAGAAAAAATAACTCACACAGAAAAAAATATTTGAGATAGTCCAGAGATCATAAGACATGCATGCACATGTTAAACCAAGTGCATGTTTTAAATTACTATTGGCTGTTTCACACTATTGTGCGCAAATGTGTTGCGTAGCGTCCATAGCCCTTGCTAGCAAATATACTCCTACACTGCCAAATAAGGAGATTAATGAACAAGTGTCATCAATAACTTATTTTCAGACAAGATAATACCATCATCACATATTAGAAACAAAAACATTAAAAGTGCCAAATTTTCAGAAAGTCAATTTATCCTTCCATCTGACAAATTGTCCATGCAATTAGAGGTTAGAACCCAGGTAACCTCAACCAACTTTTCCAAATAATTTTGAAAGCTGTATTGAATACTTCTGAATGTATTCATCATCAAAGACACAGGGGGATATCGGGTGATGTATTTGTAAGGTATATATGCTTGCTTTGATCACATTATTTCTGTCTAAATACCATCTTATTAGGGTTTAATTAGTTCCATTTGTCGAAACAAGCGGAACTATTACAATTATGTACTTATGCCAAAATGACGATGGAGGTTAGACCTAGCTGAGTCAGATAAGAAACGAGGTACCAGACTAGGTTTAATGTTGTTGGACTAAGCCAATGTAGGCTTTCACCGACATAGGCTCCTACTGGCAACAAGTTAAACTTACCTTCTGAGCCCTTTTTCTTATCTGACACATCTTGTTGTTGTTTTTCTTCTTCCTTTAGGCCTCTGTGTCTTAAACCATTGACACTGAAATGCTGCCTTTTGTCACTTGATACAGTTTATCACTTGTGTTTTGTTTTTAAAATTTATAAAGAAAGCCGTATATTTGGTTTAACTTGTTGAACTAGGCCCATGAACAAACGAGTAATTGATACTAAATCCAAGTTTGTCCGTTTGGAGACTGACAAAATGTATATGGCCTTTCACTCCAAGTCAAAGTTCTTCTATTATCTAGATCTAAAATTCAAAATAAACTGGAATGGCAACTCTAGAGCGCATCTTCGGTCTGTTGCATATCTTTAAATCCCTGGTTGCTCTGAAGAACTATATGTCATATCTCATTAAGAACTATACCATATTTTGTTTCACAGTGTTCCTGCAATTATAGCTGTATAGGGAATTGTAGAAAATTGAGAAATCTTTTGAAATGCGTTATATCTGATCTTGCTGAATGGAATTTAATGTCGGTTCTAGTTTGACAAGACATGTACTTACTAAATGTTATTTTTTAGCACATAAAAGGGCAGTATGAAATGCCCTATATGTAGAGTACAGTGGCACAAAATTGATAAAACAAAATTCAGGTACTTGTCAAAATGTGTACTAATCTGTTCTTTTGCGGACTTTCAGCACAGTACAGAGGACAGATTAATGTGCACTTTATGTAGAGTTCAGCAGCAAAGTAGCGATGTCCTGAAACGAGCAAGGCACAGACAAATCACATGGCCAAAACCTAAACAGTATACAACACAGAGTCCTATACAGGTAACTGATGTCCCAATAATTACTCAGTTTTCTGAATTTTTATTTTTTTTGTAATAAATCATTGTTCAGTTGTTCATAAAATCAGATATATTTAGAACTGTTCTGCAGCTTTACTTCAACAACAACAAACATTTTTCCCTTTTTTTTATTTTATCATTATCAAATATGGTATTCTAAAAAATCCATAAAAATGTTCTGAACATCCCTATAGCGTCTAAACGCCTAAATATAGAGTTTGAATATTTCAGGATCCAACTGTCTTCACAACCATAGATGATGCATTTTCTAGTGTCTTGCAGTATATGACAACAACCACAAGGCAATGCAAGGTAAATGATTGTCACAATTTCTTTAGCTAATACCATCATAAGAGTTTAACAGACGAACCATTATACATTTTAGGAATGAACTAAAACCGATTATTCGGATAAAAGGCTTGCATTTTTATATTTTAAGTTGTGAAATTGTTCAGTGTTCGTAGCTTGGTTTCATCAGCAGAATTTTAGAAAATATTTACAGAATTTTGAAAATAGTTTGATTGTGAAGTATAGATGTCATACATTACATTACATTAACTGTTCTTTCAGAATTTTGAATTAGTTATTGAATAAATCCCTAGCGAATCAACTAACTAAAATGCAACAGACAGTAACAAGTTCAATTATTTCAATTATGTCAACATTGACTTGAGGATTACATTGATTGTTTCTTTGGTAAGCACCGCAGAATTGAAGTTTTTATGTGAAAACACAAACAGTGAGTTAGTTATTTTTTAGTTCTAGTAAGAGAAGTTCTGTCTTATGTGGTGTATAATGAATCATAATGAACAGGTTCCAGTGTAGTTTGGCAAATCCATAGGTGACAAAAGTTTGAATAATTAATATAAATTAAAAAATATATTTGACAATTAATGTATTCTTTAGGGTGTTGGAGAAGTTTTTTGTATGAGAAAAGATTATAAACAACCAGCAAAGTATAAAAATAAAGATATATATTTCTAGGTACTGTATATCTATGTTATGTACAGACATCAGCAACATATTAACAAGCTTTTTGTGTAGATATATGAAGTGTCTGAATTCAGGCAGATGTTTTACTCTATGCAACTCTTAGTATGGGAAAATATGTGTCTGAATTCAGACATGCCCACACATTTTTAATTTAAAAAAAGACTTATATCTGAGATTTTGGTGCATGAATTCAGACAAGATTCTCTTAAACTAAAATAAGGTGTCTGAATTCAGACACTTGTCTAAGGTTGGATGAGGTGCCTGAATTCAGACAACATCCTATAAAACTGAAATAAGGTGTCTGAATTCAGACACTTTGCTAAGCTTGGATGAGGTGCCTGAATTCAGACAACGTCCTATAAAACTGAAATAAGGTGGCTGAATTCAGACAACTCGCTAAGCTTGGATGAGGTGCCTGAATTAAGACAACACGCCATAAAACTGAAATATGGTGTCTGAATTCAGACACTTTGCTAAGCTTCGATGAGGTGCCTGAATTCAGTCAACAATCTATAAAACTGAAATATGGTGTCTGAATTCAGACAACTTGCTAAGCTTGGATGAGGTGCCTGAATTCAGACAACAATCTATAAAACTGAGAAATATAGTGTCTGAATTCAGACAATTTACTAAGCTTGGATGAGGTGCCTGAATTCAGACATTCTAGTAAACTGACATTACAGGTAAGGATTCAGAAATTATTGTTTTCACTTGTTTTTTAATCGAAATTGATGTTTGAATTCAAATTCATTAGGTCAACATTGGTTTTCTGATTACGTTAAAAGATTTTCGAGCAGTGCTCGATTTTTTTCATATTAAATCTAACCACAAACAATGATCGGTTCGAAAATATTGGGTTTTTCACATTTACTTTGATCATTTTTCCCCCTGTTGCCTAAGAGTGTCAATTATTTTTATGAGAATATGTTTCCCTAAGTTACACAATTAAGGTCGGTTGAAGATTTAATAAATATTCATGTTTTACTTTTAGTTAAATTAATAAAAATCAAAAAATTACAAATGTGCCTTGTCATCTTGATGTACGTTGTCCCAATGAACTTACATATCTGAATTCACAGTTAACCCTGACAACATATTTTTAATAACACTAATGGGCAGGGGGATCAGATTGATTTAAAACTGAAACTTAACAATCACAGTATTACTTAAACTTGATTGAACCATAGTATTGAACCTCAACACTTTCCAGATATAGCATAAAGAGGATTTTAAAAAGTCATCTTCGACTAGCTAGTATAGAATCTCTCTATCAACTTCTTAAGATAATTAAAATTCATAAAAGTGTTTCTTATTACGTTAAAGTACAGATGTCAAGTGATCAAGAGGTTAGAGGCTAAGACCCCATGGTCACATATTAATCACCACACCAACACTTTTATAAAATGAATAACATTCAACAAGATTTAAAGATCAAATTTACCTTAACTTTAGAACATCTGTATTGGGGATAATTGAACATGTTCCTTAAACATAACTTGTTACTCATCAAATGCTGGATTTTGAAATTGAATTATTGCATTGTTCAATATAACATCTCGTGAATTTCATTTACACTGACACCCTTCAGTGTTAACTAATCTTCTGATTTTTTAAAATTACAACCAATACATAATATTTATCAAATCTTCACTCATCTTAAATTGTGTAGTTTAGAGAAAAATATTCTCATAAAAATAAATGACACTCTTAGGCAACAGGAGAAAAAATGATCAAAGGAAATGTGAAAAACCCAACATTTTCCAACCGATCAATTTTTGTTGATAGATTAACTACGAAAAAAATCAAGCGTTGCTTTTAAATCTTTTAATGTAATCAGAAAGCTAAAAGTCGAATGCATACAAAATTAAACATGAAATTGAAATCTTTCAAGTATTCCCAAAATTAATTTTTGAAAACCTACATCACACCTGCATCATCAGTTTTTAGTGACAGTGTACAATATAAAGTTTACAACGGTATATTTTGTCACTGTACGTTGTCGATGGTTAGGCGTGTAAATATGAGTAATACTCTAGTTCTTTCATAATACATTATAATCTATTAGCTTCATCATTATACTAGCCCAAGTTCTAATTTAACGATTTCTAAAAAAATTCTGAAGTAAATTAGGGTCATATTCATCAAGTCTATCTTTGCATTTTGTCAGATTCATCTTCAAGGAATTTACAATGGCTTTGACGTTTGCCACATAAATTGATCCCACCATATCACTGGCTTTGACTCAACAGTGAGAGTGTTCATTCCTATATAGAGAGATGCTATCTTCCCCAATTTCATCTTAAAGCTTCTTTTTCGAGATTGGTGTCGTATTTGGCTCTAATGGCTCAATTAATGATCTTTGATCTTGCTTGCTTTTTCTGTGTTGTATTGTGCAACAAATGAACATGCGCAATGGCAATCCTTGTATTGACATGCATACATGTTGTTGCTTTGGAAATAGCCAACATAAACCGCTCGCCGTTTTTTGGTCTCAAACATCACCTGGAATTAAACAAAAGAAAACTATAATATTATTTATGTAATATAATAATATTAAGTAATATTGCTGTACAGGGTGGTCAAAGAAAAGCTGCAACCTTGTCATTTTAGGAAATAACTACTTGATATTTAAAGTCATGTAACATTGTGACTATATCAGGCTGGTAGTAATGAAATATGGTTGGTAAGTCACAGGTGGTCAAAGATTTGTCCAGCTTAGGGGAGCATGCTATTTTTCATTAAAAAACATTTAGAAAACTTCACAAATTATTTTTTAGCTCAAATATTTTGTTATACCAAAGAAAATAGCCTATTCCATGCAATGGGTATATTATTTGCGGATAACCTTCACTTCTCTTTGAAGTCCAATAACACTAAAAGTAAGATCTATTGAAACGGCACCAGAGTATCAGACTCTAAAATTTACCATTTCTTTTGATGGCACGATATAATGAAATGATAATATTATAAGTTATTAAATGATTTGAAGTCCAATACAGTATATATTCTGCTCGAGAAATTCTGTATTGGCAAGAGACGGAGTCGAGTGCCAATACAGGATATCGAGACAGAATATATCCTGTATTGCACTTCAAATTATTCAATAACATTTTTATTGTGTGGTCCTCTGTATTGCTACTGAGATTGTCCCTTTGTTACCAATATTTTATATATTGCGACGGAGATGATCAATGGGGACAATCTCAGTAGCAATACAGATAGGTACAGCACAAGAACTGACCAATCAGAGGGCTTCGTTTTACAGATCATACAATGATGTAAGTTATTGAATGATTTGAAGTGCAATAAAGGATATATTCTGCTCGAGAAATTCCGTATTGGAACGAGACGAAGTCAAGTGCCAATACAGAATATCGAGACAGAATATATCCTGTATTGCACTTCAAATCATTCAATAACATTTTTATCGTGTGATCCTCTGTATTGCTACTGAGATTGTTCCCTCCGTACCAATATTTTCTGTATTGCGACGGAGATGATCAATGGGGACAATCTCAGTAGCAATACAGATTGGTAGAGCACAGGAACTGACCAATCAGAAGGCTTTATTTTACAGATCATACGATGATAGCATATGTTTTCAGCATAACTCTGATGGTTTTAATAAGATCTAGATGTATTGGATCTTTTTAATTTTTTCTATAAAAATAATGTTTGAAATACAAAACTGGTCCAAGCTGGACAAACAAAGATACAATGAATATCTTTCCATTGGGCATTAAAGACTTTCCTTTGGTGGGGAACAATGAATTTAATTATATTGATGCAAAATTGATTCTACTTTTAAAGTAAATGGAATTGTTTAATTAATGTATTACATAAGTGTATTTTGGAAATGAAGGATGCATGTAGGTTGTAATTATAATATATTCAAAGGTTCCATCACATACAACTTACAAACGGGCCTACTCTGCATTAAAATTCTGAGTCAACCCTTTCAACAAATAATCAGTATATGCTTATATTGAAATAATGTTTAATGTACAGTATAATTATGGTATAATGACAAAAACAATGTACTAAAAAACAATGATTGTGATATATGGCAATAATTAAATTATTAATAACAATTAAAACAGTTGATTGAAAACTTCAACATTATAAACTTGAAAGGGAATTCTATGATCAAGCGTGATGATGCAATAAGTTTTATTTTCCAAACTACATTTACCATTGCAAACATAATAGTTTCGAAATCATATACATAAACCTTACAATGACATGAGATAGTATAAAATCAGCTTTGTATTATAAATGGTTCATGTTTCAACTTTAAACCCATTTTCTCAAAACCACAA